AATATACTTTCCACTACTACCTTTTGTTTACATTGCGAAATAAACATGCTATCACATCTCAAAATCCAGCAGAATGTTTTCAGTAGATATATGTTTATATACATAAAATGTTTTCTAATATATATTGTGATATCGTATATCAAACATGAATTTACCTTAAATTATATTCACAGTGACACAATGCAATATCTATTTAGGCTTTGATGTTACAAAACTCTTCTCTCCATATAGATTTTCTTACTGAAGGTATCATATTTTAAGTGTATATTTTTTAAATTGCGGTAACGTTCGTTTCGGTAACGTACATTTCTTACCACTTTTCAATGCAGATCTGGACACAGTCTTGAGCAATTATAACAATTTCTCAACTCATAACTTCTTACTGAGGGAAGCTTTAACTGCTTGACACAAGTCTGCCTCTTTACATTTTCATCAGTTCCTGTAGCATCAGTAACGTACGTTTCGCGGCAAAAATTACGTTTTAATTTTCTCAGAAAATCATCCATCAATTACAGCATCTTTATATACCACTTTTATAATACATTTTTTTGGCCAATATGGCCAATTATCTGCCAAAAAACTTCAAACTTTGAAAGATCTTATTATTTAAAAAATATTTTCTTCACTGTTTAAAAACGCACACTCCAAAAGGCATGTATCAGTGGAAAGGAAGAAACAACAATTTTGTTTACATTTTTATCATAGTTTTCAGTATGTTCCACTGTTAAATTCACGCTAAGGCATTGTGAGATACAAAAAACACCAAACAATTGTTTTATTAAAGACCAATTGAAACATGAAAAGATTTAAAGTTTATTTTTCTTATAGAGACAGTCACGTGCGTTTCATTTTTTACTATTGTGCGACAAATATTTTTTCAAATCATGACAGTTGACCACTTTTTTGTTTTGATTCAATTAAAACGGAACATGTTTGATGGATCAGATGCTTTAGATAAAATATATAGCACATAATAAGACGAATATGCTGCGTGGAAAGCTTTTTTATCTATTCTGTAAATGATATTGAGAATTATTTTGAAGGTTATAAATCAAATTAACAACGTCAAGTTGATTAGTACAAATTTAGGATTCAAACTGTGTACCTTTGGTCATGGTATAAATTGAATATTTTTAAATGGTGTTTTAAAAAGTGTTTTCATTTTTTTGAATACAAAACGATTCTTTTAGCAAAGAAAAAATGAAATTAGTAAAAAATTTTTGTCATTTTGAACAAAAAAATAGTAAAGTTTACTAACGTTTTTACTTTAACTTTGGATTTTTTGCTCGCTTTTCACGTAAAATCTTATATTAAATATTAAAACAAAGATAAAAACATAATTACTTACAAGACCTAAATTTCCGAACTGGAACGGTACAAAACACAAGAAATATTCATTTTTATGTTAACGCTTAATCCGTCGAATTTCCTAAAGTATTATGTAAAACTTGAATAATTATCAATTTTTGGAAATTGAAGAAGAATATTTTAAGTAATCATCAACAGTATAAAGCCTGTTCAGACTGCATGATTGGCAAGTTGGCTACATTACCGTTAAAAAAACTTATCACCTTTGGTTCTAGCAGGCCTATATCAAGTTATTAGATTAATCAAATACCTACACGATACAGAAATCAGTTATATTAAGTTACCACTTTTCGTTTTAAATAATATAATATCAATGTTTAGATTGGGTATGGCCGATATTGAAAGAGAAAAAAGATTACAGTGCACTCCGGATACAACGAGATCGTCGGGACTTCGCAAGATTCCTCGTTACAACCGGGTTTCGTTATAACCGGGACAGAACTAATTCAAAAATCCGACAACATCGAGCATCACTTATTTCTTCTTTCGCTTTAGCGTACATCCTTTTTGAAGAGCACATAATGGGAGATAACTCTTTGCACTCAGAAGTTTTTGTTGTATTTAAATATACATGTATATAGATCTAAAAAAGTATTTCGTATTCATATATACCTCACCATAATACTCTTGTTTGAATATAGAATAGAGGTTAACGAATAATCTAACCAATCAAAATGCCCAAATGACCAAAATCGCTATTTTTATCTAATCATAAGGCTTCTAGAACACATATAATGGTGTTTCTAAATATGTTATGTTTAAAGTTGAATTCTCCTTATATATTGAACAACTTTTTTTGCCTGGTATATCTCTGAAGATAATTTTGATTTTCTTATTAGAATCCCGACACATGGTTTAAATTAGTATTAATTGTTGGAAGACGGGCACAATAATTTGTTTTCCATAGTTTTATCCTATAAGTATTTTAAAACGCTTTATCGGAATTGATAGATCCTTACTCAGACCTTTTCATTTGAATAACAATAAATTTACCCACAAACATTGACATGTGCTCTTTTTTAAGAAATATGTTGTGGTAAAATTAGTATTGCACCCACTTATCTGATAATTAGAATTGGACAGGTCAGAGATCTATGCATGAAGTGGCCAATAATTAAATATTATAACGGTTTTTATAACATTTGCGTATTCAGAGCTTCAACGTCAATAAGAAAATCCAACGGTCACGATAGTCTTCAACTATTCAGTAAAGTGGTATTCAGCTTATTGAAGTCATTTTTGAGTAAATTTATTTAAGATTAGGAGGGGGGCTTTCTTGAGATGTTCTTCAATAAAATGATACTGAAAACCACTTAGGGTTCAGTATAATACTTTTGAATTATTTTGGGTCCCGTATACATTTTAATGGATCATAAACGGGAACTGACAGACTTTGTGGGAAATGAATGTTGAAAAACAGATGCCTAGGAATAGAGATTTATTTCAGAAGTTGAACTCTATAAGAAATGTCATTTCACGAAAGAGGAGCACTTTTTATATTGAATGATTACATGTAGTTGAGCCAATAAGAGCGTATTCAGATCGTGGGACATCAACACTTATCCCAAAAGAAGTGAATTTATACGATTTCCAGTTGGAAATTTCTGAATATCAAAAGAATTTTCTTTTCCTTTTATGCAAGGAAGTAGCTGTTTTTGGTTTGTCAATGTGTCCGTCGATGTTTATGTGGATGATTCAGGTCTCCAGTGCTCGGATGATTTGTCGTATGCATTTAAATAAAGGCCTATATAAATTTCTATGAAAAAAACAAATCCCATTTCGTTATTTATTGTTATGTTCTTGTTTTTTCTTTTAAATATTAACAGAATATCAGACAGGTACATGCTATATCACCCTGTTTGAATTTATTGATTGAATATATACATTTAAACATATTTCAAATTACACATGACAAAAACATATTTTCATGACTTCATGAATAACCATGGAATAAACTTTAATTATGTTTGAGTATTTTAATTTAAAAAAAATCAAAAAGTTCGTAGTCTTTTATTTATGTATACTTAAGCTCAATATGAGTTAGCATGTATTTATATGATTAACTAAACAGAAATGATCTTTCATTACTTAGATCCACTTTGTGACATAATTTAAACTATATTGTGTTTTTACCGCTTTTGTTGACAAGATTTTACAATCAAACTGGGTTTTCTTAGGATTAATCTGGCTGGCGACCATGCCCTCATCATCTCTCTATTTATATTAAGTTTCCAGTCACTCGTGTTTAAAAACAAGTTTTTGTGTTTTATAAACTTTATTTAAGAAATTAAAGATAATAAAGAATACAAACGACAAACTCTTTCAATCTATATTCTCCCGTTAATCTTGCCAGCAACTTATATGATTAATACTTCATCTATTTGTTTATAACTTATAAGATCATTATCGACAACTGCACAAGAAAAGTCACAAAATTGGTACAGGCTTTTGGTGGATGAGGATATGTTAATAAAGAACCTTTAGAGCGATGCAAATGTTTAGAAGCTTGCTTGGATGTCAAGTTATTGGCTACCAAAGAGCGATTTTACCAATTTTGTGACTTTTCTTGTGCAGTTGTCGATGATGATCTAATAAGTTAACAAAGATTTGGCAAGTTTGAGATGCCTGTCGGATATTTTCAAAGAAATTGAAGACAATTTTCTTACCACAGTATTGGTTTTTCACCTGTAAAAATTGATCTCTTCATGCGTTCTCCGCCTGGGGAACATAGTGAATGATTGGACTCGGTGTTATCAGGTCTAATAAAACTTAATTCTTTTTAAACATAAATTTAAACTATAATAATATTCTCTTAACAATTAATTGTTTCATATGTGTACAGAATCCCATTTATTAAAGTCGAATAGATTTTAAGTAATAAAAAAGTCTACGGGTTTTTTATCCACCCTAGTAGATTTTTGACAGGTCATATGGTCAAACGGTAGTTTGTAAATATAATCAGAGTCGCAAGGCGAATGTTTTATTGCAAACAATCGTTTATATGCGACCATATAACTTGTCAGAAATATCTATAACGAAATTATGATACAGCAAGCGCCTGAGTTAGAGAGAAAAAAGATATTTTTTCATAAATTGACAGCAGCCATCTATATAAACGTCATAATTATCCAATGAAATTATGAAATATAACTATCATTTTGTATATTATGAAATATTACTATCATTTTGTATATCATGAAATATAACTATCATTTTGTATATTATGAAATATAACTATCATTTTGTATATCATGAAATATAACTATCATTTTGTATATCATGAAATATAACTATCATTTTGTATATCATGAAATATAACTATCATTTTGTATATCATGAAATATAACTATCATTTTGTATATTATGAAATATAACTATCATTTTGTATATCATGAAATATAGCTATCATTTGTATAATTATCATGAAATATAACTATCATTTTTATATTATGAAACATAACTATCATTTGTATATCATGAAATATAACTATCATTTTGTATATTATGAAATATAACTATCATTTTGTATATCATGAAATATAGCTATCATTTGTATATCATGATATATAACTATCATTGTGTATATCATGAAATATAACTATCATTTTGTATATTTTGAAATGTAACTTTTTATTGACATTTTTAAAGAACATGCAGTTTTTTTTTCCTCATTTATACGCCAATTTAGTCAGTCCATTTCATTTATATATCTACGACTGTCAAATAAACCTTGTAAGCGAAAGTCACTCGTTCCTTAAAATTTTGTTTTGTCCGAGTCACATATTGAGTCTAACATAGACCATCAATATCAGCCTAATCAAGGCACAAGAACCGAAATGTGACATGGAATAAAACAGTATAACGAAGATTAACGACTTTTCGATTGAATGGAATACTTTGCCTATCTCAGCATAAATGTTGACACATGTTGCCGGGTTTGAAATTGCCTTTCCTCCCTCTTGTCGGTCGATTCTAAAAGAAGAAATGGAAAAATTGAGACAATTAATACTAAAATGTTGTTTTCTTTTCTTTTTTCTTCTTTTAACAGTTCAAGATTTACGTTTTTTTTCGAATTTGTTTAGTTTAAACAATATTTATTTTACTTTAAACAGCATAGATGTTTACAGTAAGCATATACAATCACACTGATAGATTTCGTGGATTAGAAAACAAGTCAAATGTGACTTATGAAAAACACATACGGTACTTGCAATAAAAAATTTGCACATATTTGGTAAGAATAATACAGAAAAAAACCAATCAGATAGATAATTAAAATGAAAATGTTTATCGTTTAAAAATATGATTATCTAATTAAAATGTGGCAATGTCCGTAAATTAATAACATATTTCATCACGTATTTTTGACAAGTGAAGAGAAAATCTATCGTGTATAATTAACTAAATTTGGTTTGTTATTGATATATTAAATCAGACTATGCTACTGGTATGATAACAGATATCTTCATTTTATAATCTAGAAATATCAAGTTATAAACGCTTGCAGGGGAGTGAAAGAAAACAAATTTTTATATTCATAAATTCTTTTATGAAAACGGGCATGTAACAAGTCATACACATTCAGCATTTATATTTTTCAGGATTGCATTCTCAGAAATGAGGACATATTGAATTACAGCCGTCGTGCACTTAAATAATATTCACGAGCGTAAATGTTACAAACTTTCATAATAACATATTGAATGATATCACAAACGAACATGGAAGCTACTGCATTATAATTATAATAACCTTTTATCGTGGCACGTGGATGTGACAATCTTTTTGTCCTAGATGTCATGGCTATCAATACAGTGAAGATGATCAACACAATAAAGCTTATTCCAGTTATGATATTTCCTAGGTCAGGGGAGTTAAGTCTTTCCTGAGTCGGTTTAGGATAGCCGGATATGTACTGACGAAACAGGACAGTCTCCGGAACAGCATCGCAAACAGATGACGGTGTAATAACACGCAACTGTCCCTTGTCAGTGGCTCTATGGACGTTTATCACGGCCTTTTTCAGCTCCCTATTGTCGTTTAAAGACATAATAACAAAACCAAGCTCTATGTAGCCTTCTTCTTCTGAAAATATTGAAATGTTAAAAATTACTGACTGTTGAAAGCAATGGTAACGGAACGCACACCCCGCAACACCAAACAATTATCAATAAGGATATACCGGCTAGATATCAAAGAAGGTGCGTAAAAAGCCAAGGACGCCAAAGCCATCCGCGAAGGATGCACAGACAATAACATTTAGGATGACGGACATGTATGCCAGTTGCCATTTTGAAAATATGCCTGTATTCCCCGCCCAAACACAAAATGGCTCTTTAAATGATGTTCCATATTCAAAAACGAGTGTTTTACTACCTCCAAGGATTCGCTACTGATTCTAATAAAAGAAATAAGAGCACCGCTAGGCGGAGTATTATATGCCCGTAAGTGTTTTTCTTTAACTAAGGATGAAGCATTTGTAAGACATTACATAAATTAAATAAAGTAATGCCTCCTATAAATATCAATCCTCCTATAAAGTTTGAAAATTGTGGGCCAAATGGAACTTAGGTTATGCTTTGGAAACTGTTTTCAGTTTCGAGGTAATAGCGACCTTAGACTTTGACCTTGTGACTCAAAAATCAATAGGGGTGTTCTACTCAATATGGACAATCATCCTAGGAAATTTGAACACTATGGGCTAAATAGAAATTAAGTTATGTTCTGGAAACTGTTTTCAGTTTTAAAGTAATAGTGACCTTGACCTGTGACCTTGTGACCCCAAAATCAATAGGGGTGTTCTACCCAATATGGACAATCATCCTATGAAGTTTAAATTTTGTGGGCCAAATAGACCTTAAGTTATGCTCCGGAAACTGTTTTCAGTTTAAAAGTAATAGTGACCTTGACCTTGTGACCCCAAAATCAATAAGAGTCTTCTACCCAATATGGACGAACATCCTATGAAGTTTGAATAATTTATTGTGGGCCAAATGGAACTTAAGTAATGCTCTGGAAACTGTTTTCAGTTTAAATGTAATAGTGACCTTGACCTTTGACCTTGTGACCCCAAAATCAATAGGGGTCTTTTACCAAATATGGACAATCATCCTATGAAGTTTGAATATTGTGGGTCAAATGGAACTTAAGTGATGCTCCGGAAACTGTTCTTAGTTTCAAAGTAATAGTGACCTTAACCTTTGACATTGTGGTCCCAAAATCAATAGGGGTCTTCTATCCAATATGGACATGATCCTATGAAGTTTGAACACTGTGGGCCAAATGGAACATAAGTTATGTTCTGGAAACTGTTTTCAGTTTTAAGGTAATAGTGACCTTGACGTTTGACCTTGTGACCCCAAAATCAATAGGGGTCTTTTACCTAATATGGACAATCATTCTATGAAGTTTAAACACTGTGGGCCAAATGAAACTCAAGTTATGCCCCGGAAACTGTTTTCAGTTTTCAGGTGATAGTGACCTTGACCTTTGACCTTGTGACCCCAAAATCAATAGGGGTCTTCTACCCAATATGGACAATCACCCTATCGAGTTTGAATATTGTGGGCCACTTTGAAATTAAGTTATGCTCCGGAAACCAAATTGCTAACGGACGGATAGATGGACGGACGGACGTGCCAACAATTGGGGTTTATGTACTTTTTCTTTGATCTTTATGTGGCATTTTCCCCATTAACCAATAAAATTACCACATAAAACAGTCGGTTTATGGGATTTTTTTTCTTTTTTAACTAAAATTATGGACGGAATGGAGCTCATAGACCATTGGATGTTCGCCTGGATAGACAGACAGACGGACGGACGGACGGACGCCAGGGGGTAAAACATAATATGCCCGAAATGCTTTCGGGCATATAAAAAGCAGTGTACATAATTATAAAAAGGAGGTATCTACTTCTTTTATAAATGAAAAAAATATACATGTATTTACTCATCAAGACGGGCAGTGTTATTTACAGTTGGCGTGTTATATTAAGATAATATATCAAACGAATACCTGATTGCACCAGATCGACTTTCGTTAACAGCTCCACTGTGCAATTTATTTGTTCGGCTAGTTGAACCTTTAACTTATTCTTCACACCCTCACTAATATCTACAAAGTCTTCTTCGCTAGACATCAACAAGTTAATGTGAACAATTTCCGTGTCATCCGAAAATTTAAGGTGGTTGTAATAAATATCTGTAAATCAAATTGATTTTATAAGTAAACTAAATGTAAGTATCTGTTGTGTGATATTTCCTTTAAGTTTAGCCTATAGATAAAACAAAACAAAAAACGGGGAATAAAATTCACGGACCACAACACATATAACATACTGTAGTTTTCATTTATCTTGTTGGAAAACCCTTTTTGCAGATTTTTATATTTCACAACAGCATGCATGATAGCGCTTAATCCGGTGCTACGGGGCGTTGGAGATGTTGCATCTTACTATACCTCTCATAAAAAGACTCAATAAATTCGAGTCTGCAAATTCAAAGTATTTACTTTGTTTAAAATGCTCTCAAGGCATCTCCCATCTTCCAAAGACTAAAAAAAAGAGAAAATAAAAATCCTTAAAGAAAGCCCAACACGACAAATTTGAAAATGTTGCAGGCTCGATTTGATTGAGCCTGCTCATGGACGGTACTGGAAAGTGTCAGTTACTGCCCACGCCCCCTAGCACCGGCTTAAGCAAAATTCATTATTTAAACACGAAAATCGTAAAATTTTGAATTGAGAAACATCTGCTGATGTACCAAACCCGACTCACGTCACAAATCTAATATGCATCATAATGTAACGTTTCACTTAGCCATGAGAAAATGAGCCGTGGGTGACTCTTCTATAACCATGTTTGATATAAAGGCTTATTTGAACATATCGAATAGTTTGTAACTTTAGATAAATCAGAAAGTGTCATCTTGCAATGCACGAGTATGCAAAATTTGATTTTAGTACCAAAATATCTAAAATATAACTTATTTTGCAAATTATTAAATGTAACATTATTAATGCTTGCACAAAACTACACACACAGGTACAAATTAACGGAAGAAAACATGCATCAACATTGTGGTTCATCACATACACATACACGCGCGCACCCACACACGCACGCACCCGCGTTCACGCACACACATACATACACACTGGTGTTAAAAAGTCAGTTTTATTTCATTTGTAAGTGAATAATATATAATATCCACATTGCTATTCCATGAAGAAGGTTATTGAATCTTTTCCGTGCATAAATGTTTGCAGAAGCACAAGGACTCATCTAAATCAAAAGTACGCCGAGGAAGTGCTGTAATAAAGTCCAAGGGCTTCTGTATGAAGAAAGGTTCATTATCACTATCCCTGCATAAAAGAATGAGTCCAATTTTATCCCGTGAGTGGGTTCGCAGTTGAAAGTTTTGTTTTGATAATGAAATTTCCTGGATCATCATTGCAGCTTAATGTATCCGTTAATGCATGTTTTTGTCTATGTAATTGTACACCAGTGTATAAAACTGTTGGTCAATCTGTTTGTTGGTTCATGTTATGACTATTGCAAGTGACTTTGTATAGTACAAAATTAATGAACCTACCGAGGCTACTCGTTTTTATCACTATACCAAGTAACGTGATCCCCCCCCCCCCTGATAAACAATGCATTTAAAGTTGTGATTAGAGAACAGTGACAGCTATGCCATTGATAAGATATATTTACCTATGCACATACTTTTTGACATGCACAATGATATGTTGGGTAACAAGCACCAAATCTAAAAAGTAAATGATATAACATTATACATGTTTGTTATCAAAATGCAAATTACATAAAATTGTAAGCTGTGACTTTTGTTTTAGTTGTCAGCCGATAGTAATTGTATCTGTAATTGGCATTATTTATTTATTTTTTTGTTTTATACAGCTGTTCCGTGTTGTAGTTGAAATGTTTTAGAATATTTCAACAAAGTATGTATATGAAATATAAATTCTTATTACATACCGTTCAGTAAAGGTTTTGATTTTAAGTATGACAGGCAAATAAATTGAGCAACTCTCACAAAGCATTAGAACTAACATTCAAGTTCAAGAATAAAATATCATTGTGTATGTGTTATCAATAGCAATGAATTAGTCTTGAAATGAACAACATACATTTCCGATGTAAGCTTTTGAAAATAGTTGGGGGAATGGGGGGTTGTAACAGCAAAGGATAAACATTTAAGCTGAGATGCCGGTCATGCAATTTCCAATAAATCCGCGCTAAAAAGTAGCACTTCACAGAGAAAACATACGACTGTTTGATTAATTCGCAACAGCACAAGAAAGAGAATTGATCGTCTATTTGAAAAACGAGTCTATTACAAAATAGGTTTACTTCATATGCCGATCACTTTATACTTATTGACATTTAATAAATTGAAATGTTCATAAATAAGTTTGAGATAAACAAACAGAAGATCATTAAAACTGATACCTCGTCTGTTGTACAGCCAAAACATACATTCTCAAAGTATTTAGGAGTCTGTTTGTCTGCCATGTGAGTAAAAGAAAAAAATCAATATATACTTAAAAATGAAATATTGAGAAATATTAAATTAATGAAATAAAATGTGTTTTTTTTCCTTTTCCGTATTTTCACTGTAAAAAAAATATTTTTCACTGCAGTCAAACGTATTTTCCGTACTTTCACTGGTGTCTTGTTTTAAGTTCTGCTAGTCCACAAAATTTAAGAGTGTCATGTCAAAAAAGAGAAAAATGTATAATTATAATAAACAGAAAATTCAAGATTTTTTTTTTCCGAAATACATGATTTATTTTCATCTTGTGGCATGGAAATTATCATATTTCACTCGTGGCTACCGCAACTCATAAAATATTTATTTTATTATACCACTCGACGAAAATAAATTATGTATTTAAAGATAAAAACTTGAATATCCTCTATATATTGTTAAACAAAATAATAATTTCAAATAGAAATAGGTTTTACATAGAGGATATTTGTTTGTTTTGCATGTAAGATTGAAATATATTTTCACTGAGTGAAAACCAGAAGCAATATTTTCACAAGTGGCGTATCCACAAGTGAAAATATAATAGCTCATGTTCACGAATGAAAAAATATTTCAATATTATATGTAAAACAAATAAAGTTTCTTTTTATTTCATGCCTTTTAAGTGATTATAAGTATTTTTTACTGATTTTGCCGTGTAACGTCGCGCATTCTCCTTTGTGTCGTCATCACATCATGCCGTCACATCATTAATTTTGAAATATAAGCTTAAGTCTGTTGAATTTCTCTTATTTTGTTACATTTTTAACATGATGTATGGTGACATCGACTTTCTTTTCCTAAAGAAGCAAAATTTACGTATGACGGCATTTTTTCTGCCTGATATTCCATTTAGTTATGATTTTCTTTTCCTCCGCATTCAGATATAGTCCGGCTACAGTGAAATTATATTTTCTTATTTTCACTAGTGGTTTATCAGAATATAATCATCTGATTTATTACAATTAAACACAGGAAAGCATGAAATGAAAAAAAAAATATTTTCAGGATTTTAAAGTATTGTACAAAATGTTATCGCATACTTACTTAAGTCTAAATATGTTTTTCTGTATGAACCTTCAACTTTTGCAATGACAAGATTGTCGATTTCAATGTCTTGCTTGCTTCTTATCATCTCGTCTAGCCTGGCAACACCTTTATCCCTTCCGAGATATGGCTCTAAGGTAACATGGATTGCAAACTTATCCCTTCCTATCAAGAATTAAACAATTATTCATCGCAAACTTGTTAAGTTCTACATAGACTCTAAGATAACACGGATTGCAAAACTTCTCCCTTCCTACCAAAAAATGCAAACTATTCATTTATTGCAAACAAGTCCATTCCTAAGAAATACAAAAAAGGTCTTTTTCCTACCAAGAAATGTATACACGTAAATCCTAAACTTTTTTTCTCGGAAAAAGTTTGCAGCTGTGAATGTATTTGAATAGCACTTCTGTCACAAGATAATCATAAAATATGCGGTTAAGGGGTTTAAAGCTATATTAACTGATTAGAATTATTTCTAAAAAAAAAGTATTTACAGTTGGTACAATTACATTCTAACACTATCTGTTTTTTTCCGTTCAAATGCTTTGAAATTAATCACTCAGGCCTATCGGCCTTCGTGATTATATTACTGCGCATTTGAACTCAACCGTGCATTATTCTACAACAATGCGCTAAGAATTGATATCTATTTCCTAATTCTTACACTATCGGAAATTTTTCTATATAAACAAAGAAGGCCCGAAGCGTGCATAATTCTTTAACAATTCACTCGCCGTTCTTATTATCTCCCTGTGTATTTTCACATTGAGGGCGCCAATATCTTTAATTCAGTCGTTAACGCTGTACATACGTTTTAAGTGTTGTACGTGACAGCACAATGTAGCGCCAAACAACACGTGCAAAACAATTAAATCAAGTACGCTATTTTAATGTCGCAAACGAGTTAAGTTTTACATTGTTTTCTCACTTTTAATAATTTTTATTTCGCTTGGAAATTTATAGACTGAAATATAATAAAAAACAAAGTTTTATGAAAAAACATTTTCAAAAATCGTTATTCTCAAGATGTTTATTTAACGACAGTTTTTTTGAAACCACTGGTACGGCCTTTAAAGAACGTTTCGATTGGAAACTCTGAGGCCAAAACAAATTTAACCACCAAACATAAAGTTCCACTTTGTAATAATTATTATATTTTTTCTTGACGTGTTAGAATGGAAATAGATATTAATTCTTCGTGCATTATTGTATAATAATCTAACATTTTTCTTTTATACACTTCACATATTTTGGAAGTTTTTTTGTTACAAATATTTTGTTAACTGCAAAGAGCAGAGATTAAATTTTCTACACTTCACGCGTGGAAACGGAAATAATCTTTGTCCCAAATATAAAAAGATTGGTCTCTGTATTAAAGTAAGACAACATTGTATAGTATAAATAAATTTAATATCTCGAAATCAACATGTAAGTCACAACCTTTCGTTGTGACAATTTACTAAAACAAACAAAAGCAGTGATGTTAAGAAAGAGGTTAATATATCAGTGTCTTCAATGTCAAAGCAATAGGCACATGGAAATACTTGTGACAAATATTCTTAACTTCGGTTTCTTAAATCAACTGTTATACAGATGTAATGAATAGAGTTCTATGCTTTGCAACAAGTTTGCCAAAACATTGGTTAATAATATCATTGTGGAGGTACATAATACATGCCAGATTATTCTCCTTCGTCCTATCTTTTCCGAAGAAAAAAATTGTTAATTTTATTCTAGCGTTTCTAACTAAATTTTATTCATTTGTGTTTGATGCAACTTGAGATACAGGAAGAAATGTCAATGATATTATTTCATGTTTAATGCAAATTAAGATAGAAGAACAGTCCATGGTATTATTCCGTGTTTAATGCAAAGTGAGATCGGTGAACATGTTAGTGGTATATTTCCGTGTTTGATACATTATGTGATATTATTATGATGTCAGTGACTTGCTTATAAAGTAATAGCAAAACTATAGCTTGTCTTACTTTTATAAATATAAGTTATTCACTCCAAATTAGTTCTCGTATACCACACTGACAGAACCCAAGTGGGATAGAATACTTAAATGAGTGCTTTAATGTATTCATTGTTGACATATCAATAAAATCAGACTATATTAAAGACAGTAGCGAGGCATTCTATGTACCAATCAAAACGTTTGTCTATAGTATTTTATATATTAATTACTCACAATAGAATAAGCAGAAAAAGGTTAACCTTTGCCTGAAAAGGTGACTCTTGTGGCATTTGCGCAGAGATCATGTAAGCGTATAAGACTTTCTGTAACAACCTGTGTGGAAAAGTCCAATCCATAGATGTCTAGCAGTTCAATACTTCCGTAAACTTCCAATGTTACTTTATAAACAAACAATTGGTCAAACAACAAATATGGTCACTAACTCTATAATTATTTAACTCACTAAAGTGTTGGAGCAGTACCTTGCAGACACTTGCAGAAATCATTATCAAAAAGTAGAAAAAATACCTTTTTCTGATGTTTTGTTGTTGTTTTTCGCCGATTTTACTTTCATTCATAATCTTATAAAAATTGGCGTGAAGAGATGAATTAGAGGTCTAAATGAGCATTTCAGCGTGTGAAAAAGCGAGATTTTAGCATAAAATCATCCGGAATTTACAAACATCATTATTTTACTCCAAATTTATATGCATAAGTTACACATCCATTAAAGAGTTTTATATTAATTGCAGACTTACTTTGAACTGGTTTATAGAAGTATTTATCGCACCTTCCAATACCAACACATTTTGGATCGAGACTCACACTTGTACACAGTTCCTTTCAAAATCAAATTTAAAAGATAACATAACATACTTAAATAACGTTTGTGTCGCCTGCCTCTATGTACCAATCACAATTTCAAATGATATTTTGTTAATCGGGAAATGCAAGTCAGTTTTCTTTCATCAATGATCTTTAAAAATACAATTCGGATTTTTTTTGTCTTTAACGACTTTTATCATTCATTTTAAACGTCCAAATGTAATTAAATACATAACATAATAAATAATAAGGTAGTGTCAAACACATGAAAATTGCCTCATTGGAGGGTCACGTGTTACAATTACAAGCAGCAATAGAATTGAAACTGTGTATGAAAAATAATTGTGGCAGACTTATGATCACTTGCACAAATATCATAAT